CGAAATAGGATTGTGGCAGCCTCTACTTGACCTGTGGAAGCAAAAGTACACCCTGAGCGACTTCAAGCAACGGATAGAAGATGTGTACATCCGCAGGCTCGCTTCAAAATGCGGAACAGCCTACATGCAGGTTGTGCGTGACTGCTTCTGGGCAGCGGATGTCAAGGGCGACAATGCGATCGATGTTCCGCAGGTCTACACTCGCATCCTAACCAGACTGCAACGCTGCTGCATGCTGGATGAGTCGGAACCTGGGTTTGACTTGAGCGAATTGAGACCGGGTGCTACACCGGTGCAGCAAGCATCTCCATTGAAGCGCAAGAGCGCGAGCCAGCCACAGGTCGTCACCGATGGCCAGTCAAGTCCATCCTATAGGAGCGCAAAGCGATGGGCGTTGGAGAAGGGTACACAAGCCTTGGAAAGGACCAAGTCCCTCTCAAAGAAGTCACCAGATCTTTCATTGGCTCGTAATCCATCACGGAGCTCGCAACACTCCATCCGGAAGAGCATCTCAGAAAGTCTTCGTATGATGAGCCCTAAAGAAGAAGCATCGGAGATGGAGTGGGAACAGAAAGATCCTCTAGATGAATCAGGCACTCTCGTCGCTACCCCGCCAAATTCACAAGACCCAAGCGATAACTCTTCGCTGTACAGAGAGCGCGTGGCGACTGCCGCTTCAACGATTCAGCGTGCATGGCGACAGTCGCGCGCCCCCTCTAATGGATGCGCAACGCTACAAGACTACAAAGACAAAATCACCATCATCCAAAAGGCTTGGCGCCAGACAAAGCAGAAACGCAGTAATACCACCGTCTCGGCCCTTGTCAGTGACGGACTGCGACACTGGCCGCAAGCTACTCTTGGTTATCCAACACCTGAGCCAGAGATACAGAGTAGGACGGTAAATTCGAGTGAGAGCTACGTCACTTCGTCTATACAGATCGAGACCGATATAGAGCCGACCCCTCGACCGAAGCTACGTCTCTTCCCAGTCAATTTCACACCTGAGATCGTGGAAGAATGGCACTCATCCATGTTGCCCCGCCTTGAGCGTCTAATAGAACGGGCGCTCAAGGATTCTGAAGAGACTGTTAGCATTGACCTCGTCGCCATCGGAGAAGTACTAGAGAAAGCCAAGCCTACTGTGTTTGTTACCTGTACCAGTGTGGCAAAGGTCAAGACCATTCTCAGCCGTCGCTTCCGCTTTGACGAGAATATATATGACCTCAAGGTCCGTAGGGGAAAGATCAGGCGGTCCAAGATGAGCCGTTCGTCGCGCCGAACTAGGCCACCGCATCGATCCATGATGAATACCGACTCCTACGATGCGGACATGGCTGTGATGAACCCTTACCATCAGGATCGCCCATTATGCGGGGCTTCCATTGGAGCGTTCAACGGTGAACATCTGCCTCCGGTATCCTATGGTGGGGTCATTCTGGTTGACGATGAGCCATTGGGCATGAGTGTCCATCACCTACTCGACATACCGTCCGAAGACGAAGACGACGTTGGCGAAGAGCCCGATAGCCCTTCTCCGAGCGATGTGATGCTGTCCAGCGCAGCGAACAACCCTTGGTTAATGGGTATGGGTGCGCAACCAGATCTTCATCTAGAATCGGATGAGCCCGCTGGGATGTGGGATCTTGAACTATCAGACGATGAGGACATAAAGAGCGAGGAAGACGACGCTGACCTTGCTTCGTTCGAATTCTCTGACAGTGAGCTTGAGTCTGACGATGACTCTGCGGAGGGTATGCCGATCCGACACTGCACACAAGTTACAAGCGCTAATCCCATTTCAGATATGGCAGATTCTCATATTTCACACGCAACCATGGGCGACATTGAAGGCATTGCGCCAGGCGAAGGCGAGGAGATAAAGATCACACAACCAGCCATCGATGACGTGGGCGCTGACTTCTTCCCCTGCGAAGAAGATCGCGACGACGACCATCTCTCCTCGCACGAACTAGGCCACGTTCACGCCTCTTCCGGCATCCGCCGGTGGAAGCGCGACGGCATCCTCCACGAAATCGACTGGGCGCTCCTCAAGCTCAGGGAAGACCGCCTCCAGCCATATAACGTTTGCCAAGGAGGTCGCCGCTTCTGCCTGGGCTCCATGACGCCGGAACAACGCGCCATAGCCTCCAAGCTGGAGAAGCCAGTCAACCGCCGCACTTACACCCCCGAAGAGGACGAATACCCCAACGGCGTAGCCCCCGCATCCACCCTCGGTGGCATGTCTGTACACTGCTTCGGCCGCACCACCGGCCTCCAACCGGGCATGGTCAGCAGCGTCATGTCCGCCGTCCGCATCTACCACCGCAAATCCTTCTCCCGCTCGTGGCACGTCGCTGGCGGCTTCGGCATCGGTGGCGACAGCGGAGCCTGGGTCGTACAAAACGGTCATCACAAAGTCGTCGGCCACGTGCTTGCCTTTTGCCAAAAGAACAAGATCGCTTATATCTGTCCCATGGAAGTTCTTCTTGAAGATATTAAGCGTACCCTAGGCGCCAAGCGCATCTACCTCCCTGGCTCTGTAGAGCAGACCCTGTACAAAGCTAAGAAGGCGAGGCACCACGATGTTATCGAAGACCTGGGGTCGCGGGTGCAGGGTCTAGGTATAATAGACTCTGCGGTCGATGTTAGGGAGAGTCTCAGTTCGGGGCCGCCGGGCAATGGTGGTCTCTGGGAGAGACTGGAGAGAGGTGGGGATAGTGATAAGGAGAATACGAGGTCAGCTATGCGGAGCAGTATCATGCGTGTCAACGAGAGCAGAGATGGGGGTTTGGAAATGAGTGTCAAGTAGGAGTAAGCGGATGGCGTTGGTTAGGCGTCCAGGAGGACGGTATGGGAAGGGGGAGGTTATACCCTGTTGTTCTATTGATGTTCGTTTGAATCAGAAGACCCATCGATTTACTCATGTTGAAGTTTACAACCTCGGCGCCAACGCTGAACAGATCGTCAACTCCAAACCCTGCTTCCAACATCATTGCACAAAGTCTCAACATCCTCTCCCTTACCCGCTCTCGCCCAATACTCTTCTATCTCAGCTGGGTAGCCCGTCTCATTGAACGGTTTTGTCCACTCGCTCGCCTTGCTCCGCGCTATACCGCCCCAGTAAGCCATCCTCTCCGGACGCTTCCCGTCTCGATTCGAAGCGAAGTGAATGAGCAGAGATGCAGGACGAGCTAATGATGGTTTGCTAGGCTTGTCTGGATTGGGTGGGAAGCCATTGAACCACCGTTGGGGCACGTAGGCAACGGCGGAAGAGAAGTATGGCTGTGAGTCGCAAGATGATTAGTTGATGCAATAAGTAAAACGTGAATGAGCCTTCCACCTACACGTCTCATAGTCTCTTCCATAGCACTTTGCTCACTATACTTCAACTGTATATCAGGATTATACTCCTTCAGGCTCAATGCTGCCGAGAAGAGACGTATCGCCCACTCGTTTACTTTGATGAGGAAGACGCCGTTGTTAAGACCATGTCGATCATTCGTCACCACCAAATTGGTCTTTTGATCTGGGGGTAAGAAGACTTGCAACGGAACATTAGGATTCATCAAGATGGTGTCGCGATCATGCCAGAAAAGCCACTCCAGTCGTTCCGCAGCTGGCTTGGCAAGTTCGGCTCCAAGAATCGCGAGCAGGAAGGCATGTTTGGACCAAAGACCAGGCAGCATGCGCTCGCGAAGTATGAACTCGGGGTACCCGTGGAGGTCATTGTGGACCTGGTGAGAAGCGATGGCGGCTTCATAGACGGGATCTTCCGGCCCGAATGAGGCCGTTACTTTGCCGATGCGAGGGGACGATTGTGATGACGGCGCGGGTGCAGATGAAGCGGGAACGGAACCAAGATGCGGAACATGTGTTGGTACAATTTTGTTTGAGACCGATGTTTTTGTCGAGAAGAGGACGATGGCACCAAAGCCCAGAATAAGTAATGTGCCGTATTTCCAGAACCGAGAAGATGCTCTTGGAAGGGAGTACCGAGAACATGGGGCTTGGTTGTCGTCAGACCATACGCTGGATATGGAACTGCGCCTGCTTTCGCTCATGGTGTGTGGTCGTTGGTGAGGAGCGCAGTAGCGTGACGACTGTGATTAAGAGGGGAGGAGAGCGTCATATGGGATTGGCTGCATGCATCGATGAGGAAGTGGCTAAGGGAAGAAACACGTGTTGGTGATCTTGGTTCTCGAGATTGAAACCGAATCTTGGAGTTTGACGATTTCGAGAGATGTCATGGTTAAGGTGGCTGCTACTGCCAGGGCAGACTCGTGGACGCCTGACATGATGCCAATCGCGCCTAGCGGAGGTTCCGCCGACTGCGCCTTCAGCTAATGCAGCTAAGTGCTTATGCTGGCGTCGCTGCAAGATGAAACGCGTACGTACGTCAACGCCTCTAGCTATTGAGTATGCGTAGGCTTGGAGGCTAGGAGCAGGCATCACAGTGAAGCACACACGGATTTGGTAGTTATTGGTCTGTAGCAGCCATCCGGCTATCGCGGGAGAGCACCTGACAAGTAAGCGGAGCAGCTGAGCGAGAACGCGGGAATTCGGCATGGCATCGTTGTAGGCAAGCTGAGTAACTGTGGAAGCATCGTTAGAGGGAGGTCCACGGTACGATGAATGAGACTGATTGCGCCCAGGCTGGGCTGTACCTCTGACAGCTCTGCCAAGCCGCTAGTGTCGCTGAATCTCGAACCCAGGAAGTTACCATCTGAATCTTCGTTCCCACAACAAGTCTTCAAACCTACCGGAAGGAACTTTTCTATGATCTGTGTATGCCAATCCCCGAGTCTTTTCGTGGAGCCAATGATGACGACATTGTTCAAGATGTCGGCAGAGAGCGAAGATACCTAGGCTAGCTCCGGGCGTAGGCAACACACCTGAAGTGGTCCGTTGAGCAGCACATCAATACAGTCATTCGCATTCCGGATCTGATTCAGGGCCCCCAGATCCTCTCCGTGTCACCTCATCTTCCATAATACACGATGACTACTTCCTCCGAACACCCAGCGCTCACCGCTACCGGTAGTACCACCTTCTACACTCACTCAACAAACCTACCACCGAACGACGCTAGCAGCTTGCGTATCACTTCGCTCATGTTTCCCCAATTATATCTTCGTCTTCCGCACATGGATGATGCTGCTGCACTCCTACAGCTTTTCACCGACTATCGCAATGTCCAGTACGACAAGTCATGCGCCGGGTTAGATAACGCGGATGCCATTGCTATTTTGATCAAGCAGTGGCAGGTTGTAGATATACCACTACAACGCGTCAACATTGTTGTCGTGGTTGAAGGCAAGACTGTCGGCACAGGCGGTTTGGGCTGGATTGGCAGGAGAAAGAGTGATGGCAAGCTGATTGGTGATGCAGGCTTGATGTTGGACACATACTACCGTGGCTCAGGCTACGGCTATGAGTCGTTGTGTATGGTCATTGATCATGGCTTTGCTGTTTTGGGCATGCACGAGGTCCACATAGCATGCGTAGATGCTAATGCTGCGTTCAAGGGATTGATGAACAAGAAGTTCGGATTTCAGGCTGAGAGAATAGAAGACAAAATGTTTGGAAATGAGTGGATCTGGCGCATCACGAAGGAAGCATGGGAAGAGAGTACGCACTCTGCGCGAGGGCGAGATCAAGTGCAAAAGAAAGTATGAGGTGTCACTGGCGAAGATCCACGACCATGGTGAGTGTCGCAAACATCCAGCGATAACCTTTTGGTTTGTGGAAGTTCTGCTCGATGCTGAAAAGGTGGCTGGCGCCTATCACCCAGCGGACCGGATACTCGTTTTGGTCCCTCGCCGTTGCTAAGAACATGGTGAAATACAGGTTCGACTTCATCATGAATCGCGTGCGATGCCAATGGAATAACATCCTGTTGAGTCTGTTGACAAAAACATCATGATGCAGCTTTTGCGCAAGCCGTAATTCGTTGATGCACGTGCGGCAGGGCGCACCAAAGCTGAATTGTTGAGTTTCAAGGTACATAATTCCTTCTTGAATCTACGCGACCAATGGTCAAGAATTCAAGAGTTATTTCGCTGCCCAGTTGGAAAGATTGTGCTGAAAGGAGGCGTGAAACGCATCAAATACACGTAAAGTCTCACATTCCTGCATCCCGAGCTCGTCTTCCATCGGAGAGCTTTCCGTTCACCTTCCCCATCACAACACCATGATTTCAGCTACATTAATAACAGATAGGATCTATGGTGTTGCGAGCAGCGCGGATCATATCCTTCACAATAATGCTGGTATTCTTCTTATGCTCTTGGCGCAATTATGCTCCACCATCTTGGGGACGTTGGGGCGCATCTTGGGAACGCAGCGTAGCGGCGACTCAGGCACCACAGCAGTCGGTACTTCCGAGGTATGGAAATATGCTAACCGCCCACCTACGCAAATATTGATGTTCTCCAGATACTCATTGTAATGATGTCGATAATCACCATCCTGTCCTGGACGTACATAGTACTGTCCCCAGCAGCCATTCCTGGTGGTGCACTCGGTCCTCCCAAGCTGCGCCCTCTACTCGTCGTAAGAGGCGTTGCCGGTTTCTTCGGTATCTGGGGCTTCTACGTCTCTCTACGCTATCTCGCACTAGCTGAGGCCACTCTGATCAACTTCCTCGCGCCAATTCTCGCTGCCCTTCTCCTCGGCTTGTTACCGGGTCAGCAGCGCTGCTCTGTCGCTCAAATTCTCGCAACTCTGGTTGCGGTCATCGGCTTACTCTGCGTATTGCAGCCTTGGAGCGCTCATGTAACAAACACGCCTAGAGAGCACGTGCTGGCCATTGGTGCGGCACTTATTGGTGTCTTCGGGGGCGCAGTCTCGTTTTTGACCATGTCGTGCCTAGGAGAGCGCGTACACCCGATGACAACGGTTGCATACTTTGCGCCCATATGTACGTTACTGAGCGGCGCATCGCTCATCATACAGCAACAAGGCTTGGGTTTTCCATCCAGCGCCGTAGGATGGCTGTTTGTGTGCGTGCTGGGCATATTGGGGTTCGCTATGCATTGGCTCATGGCAGCGAGCTTGATGACCGGCGATTCGAAGAAAGCGCTTCACATAGTAAACCTTCAGGTGGTGTTCGCTATGCTGGCGGACAAGATTGTATGGAGACTGGAGCCGGGATGGTGGAAGTTCGCCGGTGCGGGATTGATCGTTGGGAGCGTTATATTCGTTGCGGCTGTAAAGGAACCTCAAGGATACACACTGGTTGGAGAAGTCGACGAAGAAGAGAAGATTGAGACAGAAGATGCCAATCACTGAGGCGAGAATAGCTAAAACTACTGACTTATTTATTGCTGGAAATGAAATGCGCTGATGGCGGGGCTAATCTACAGAAGGCCAAGCCATCAATATTTCAACCCCAACTGGCCCGGCACAGAACTATACACCTGTCGTCCCTCAAACCAAGTCTTCAAGACTGTAGCTCCAGCAAACTCCCCCTGACTCAAGTCCTGGTCAACAGCAATGAAGTTTGCCATCTTCCCAACTTCAATGCTGCCCTGCGTGCGACTTCTTCCCACCGCTTCTGCACCTCCCAACGTGATCATACGGCAGAGCGTTGCAGCGGCTACCAGCCTTTTGTTCAATCCCTTATGGGCTGGTGTTTCAGGCACTTCAAGTCTCTCCACCAGGTGTGCAAGTGGATCGAACAAACTCGGGTTGGGAGTCAAGATCCAATCCGAGCCAATCGTCATACGAGCGCCTGTAGCCAGAATATCGTTGAAGGGCCACTTGAGCAGATGGGGCGCTGCTTGCACAATGGGATAGTGCCAAATTGCCGGGGACATTTCGGCGGTAAGGCCCAGGCGTGCGATCCGTGGGATGTCATCTACAGCATAAGTTAGTTTGGTAGCATGAAGATCTCGCGAAGGATGCTCAGGGATGGCTTCACATGCCTGGATGGACTGCATTACAATGCGCAACCTCGTGCTTGGGACCGTTGGGGTTGTTCTTTCGCACAGCCTCGTAGGCGTCCAGCGCAAGCCGCAAGCTTCCCTCGCCTGCGGCGTGGATCTTGCATGTCATGTTCCGAGCATCGTATTTGAGAAGTTGTTCGAGTAGCTTGTCGTAGCTCAACAGCAAATGCTTAGCATCGGGCGCTCCATGGTCGTTCAAATCGCATTGGGTGGACTGTGGAGGAAGCGGAGCGCCGTCGAGGAAGAACTTGACAAAGCTCGTGTGAACATGTTTGCTCTCAAAAGCTTCTGCAACATTGAGCAGAGCTGCTAGTGATTCCTCGCGCTCGTGAGCTTTCTCCGGTGCGGCAACAATGTGTGTGTGTATGTTTAGAGGCAGGCGATTCTCCGCTTCCAGCTCACGCACGGCGTGTAGATAGACGGTGTTGGCCGATGCCTCTTGCACGGATGTAATGCCATACCTATGACATTCAGACATGGCAAACTCGATGACAGTCTTGGCATAGCTGAGTGGAGTGCGCGGTAGACCACGCCAGATTGGAGTTGTTGCAGCCTCGACAATCTCTCCGGTGAGTGTGCCATCAGGTCGACGAAAGAAGAAACCCCCGGGCGGGTCCTTGACGTCGTCGTCGATACCCATCTCACGCAGTCCAGCAGTGTTCACGAGGATTCGATGGCAGGAAATTTCGCGCACGATCACGGGGTCGCCCGGGTAAAGCTCGTCGAGGTATTTTCTGTCGGGAATGCCATCGGCAAAGTTGCTTGCCTGGTAAAAGTTGCCTATAATCCAGTTGCCCATGACGTTTGAAAAAGCGCAGGCACAGGAAGCTGACTTGATGTTGCTGGCGAGAGTCTTGTCGGTGCTATCCCAGCCGACGTGCGCTTCCCCAGTGCGCTGGCATCCGGCCGCTAAGAGGTGAGTATGGGCGTCGTGGATACCGGGCATGACGAATTTCTCTTGTAGTTGGTACTGAACGAGCCCTCTTCTTTTAGCAATGGTTCTGATCTCCTCGTTCGAGCCGACGGCTTCGAACTTGCCGTCGGGATTGACGATAAAGGCTTCAGCCCATGGTTGCGCATCGTCCATGGTGTATACTCGTCCGTTGACGAAGGCGGTAGCATTTTCCGACCCTTTGGACGAATAGTATAGAGGGGCTTCCATATTTAGAGGGAGCTAGTGGATTGTAAGAAAAAAAGGATTATCCCAAGAAGCCCAAAAATAATAAGCAATGCAGTGTTGACACCGATGATTGTGAGGGGCAAGTTCATATGCCAGAAGCTCTGGACTTCCTTATAACCATCCTGTTCATATCCTGCTACTTGATACTATCAACCAACCATATCGACGAAGACGAAAAGACATCCTCGGCTGCACCGATACGGCATCGTACTATACTCGCATTCGGCTCGTAGTCTAGTGAATACTCGGAAGAAGCCAAAACTTTAACTTCGACTAATGTGATACTCGTGCGCTGGGTATCGGGGTATGCGAATTCTGGGAACTCGAAAAGTACACTTAGCAAAGATGTAGACGATGAGGAAAAGGTCGAAACTGCACTCACTTCGCGAAGAGGGCTACGCATGCTAACTATTTTGGGCTTAGTAAATGTCGTCGTCAGCTGACCGTGCACGCCCCAGCTCAGATCTCTGCTTCCTACAACCGCGAGACCAGGCAAGTCGTCAAAATTCCCAAAAGTTGGCAAACGATAGTCAGGTGCGCATAAAAATGTTAATGAACAGGATTTTTGATCATGCGAAACACGCCATCGCAATGTGCATACTGCGGGTACCCAAAGCTGTGGAATGAGGGGGCTTCGATCAGAAGCGCCTACCAACCCCCCCAATTTCCCTGACGCGACCCCGAAGTTGACCCGCTTGCAACCAGCACCTCGTTCACCCGCGCTCAGTACCTACAAGCGTACATACGATGGAAAGACCTCCCATGGCAGTTCAACACGCCTTGGTTGTACGACCCATCCACCTCGCAGGGCATATCCAACCAATCACCACAAACTACATGCCCAACGTCTCCGTTACCCTGTGTTCTCCACACGCAATCATCATGGTCCATCCACTTCAACAACTTGAGATCCATCTAAGAATGTGCTATCAGCTACAGCGTTTCCCTCCTGTCTGGCATAAGCTTCCGCAACATGTATCATGACTTACAGCAGGAGCTTGCGGAGGGTTGTCAATCGCGTCTCGTCCGTAATGGTACACGCCTTTGAAATCCGCGACCTTGAAGGGGTCTGGATAGCCGCAAGGATCCACAGATACTAGGGCTGGGCCTTGGTACATTTGCCAATAGTACTCTGTACCGGATGATCGGAGGAGAAGGATCTGGACCGAGGAGTCGTAGTAGTCCTACCTCGGATTTAGCGGTGAAGTCTATCTTGGTATTCAGAAAACCGACCGAGGGGCGCCAATCATTACCATTTTCGGATCTCTGTACGCCAGTGTACTTGACGGGGGTAGCAGAAGTCGTGCCGAGGAAGATGGCGACTGGGCTGACAAGCAATGTGGCGAGCGTCCGCATGTTTAACGGCGTAGAAGTCAACGTGCTACTTGCTTCTTGATTTCGAGAGCCGTTAGGGAGAGGAGAGTTGGCTCGAGCAGCGGGACGAGTTTATGTACTGTAAGCGAAAGTGAACCGATTGGTTGCCACGTAGGCAGTGACACCCTCGAGAGACGAACAACACACGCCGAGACCATACAAGCAAACAAATAGGGAAGCGCTTTCTTTCGGCCACTAGCGCACCTTGAAGCGAGTAGAATATAAGCATGTGTATCTGGAAGCGATACCCAATTCGATTCACCAAGTATCTAAGATGGTAACCAGCTGTCCGGCTTCTAAGAGGAAATCAAATGTTCCGCCGTGTTGCAGACAGAAAGATCCCAATCCCAAGACCGTCCACCACATTACTCAAGCGACGAAAGACTCTTTTGCCGAGTTATGCAACGCACGAAGAACCCCAGCCTAGAAGTTGCAGGCGTATCCCCGATGATACGACCAACCTTGGCCGGTACATGAGATCGCTCCATCGTTCCAACTCGCATCTCGCTCACAGTCATAGATCATCCAGTCGCCACATACGAACTGACCGACATCACCGTGACCGTTGGTCTTCCAGTTGCAGTCCTTGCGGCCCATCCACTCGGGAACAGGTAGCTCCGTCTACGCTGTGGTCAGTTTCATGTGCACTTCCAAGCTGCAATCGATAAATTCACTTACCGCGGGTGGGTTTGGGGGGTTGTCGATGTCGTTGCGATCGTAGTCCAATTCACCTATCTGCGAGCCGAGCTTGAAGTCTCCTGTTTTGCAGGCATTCATCTTCACACCATAAGGACCTAGATACAACGACCAGTAGAAGTCCGCAATCGAGTAACGCTCAAGAATGATCTGAACCGAATTGGTGAACACATCAGCTTGCTAATATAAGGTCAGTAGAGCACCGCGTTCCAGAACATAATGCATACGTACCAGACCATGTGCGGTGCGATTAGCCTGCGCCTCGGGGCTCAAGAACTGGGCAGATGTTGCAGTGGTCGCGCCGAATAGTAGACTGATGGAAAGGCCCATGAGGAGGGTGAGCCACGCGAGCATGTTGAGGGAGATGTTATTGTGCGTTTTGTCAAGGCCTTCAGGATAAGCTTTGTGTCAGGGATAGAGGCTGAGCGAGAGCCATTGTGAGCTACATATATATTCTATGATCTCTTGGCTAAGAAGTGAGCACCTGACGGCTCTAGTGGGCAAAATTAAGGCAGGCAAAAAGGCGGGCGGAAGGGGACGTGCAAACGACCAAGTTAGGCGACAGGTCTTCGCGCTTTGACGTACAGGGTGATTAGAGTGAGACCGAGAGCGATAGTGAGAGCGTTCTTCATACATTCATTGGTTCTACGTAGAATGGCTCAGTATTCCCATATCTATAGGAGGCAGGAGACGTGTAGTCATGTCTCAAGCTGCGCCTTGTCCACCATCACGGTCGCTCTTCGTCAGATTCTTTATCCAACCTCTAGAACTCGCAGTACCAGGCCACAGCGTAGCGTGGACGTGGGTTACCGCAGGAAACTTGTTGTCCATATCGAGGGTCCTTGGCGCAGTCGATTATGTAGTAGTCGCCGCAACGGAACTGGCCCGCGTCTTTACCAGTGGCGTGGTAGGCACAGTCACCGCGGTTGCCGTACTCGATCGGGACCTCGAACTAGAAGTGAGTTAGTTCATGTACGGTGAGCGTCTAAAGATGGCAGCCAACTCACCTCGGGGACGAACGGCAAGTAGTTCTGAGGGTAAGGAGGGCTGTCCATGTCTGGCTTGTTGGTGTGCCATCCGGGCTCGCCATGATAGACCTTCTCGAAGCGAGTGTCTCCACAAGGGTTCACGGCTACGCCGCTAGGTCCTTGGAAGATGTCCCACACGTAGTACTTGGTATCTACCTCCTCGACTTGGATCTGGAGGGAGTAGGGATACGGACCCTGGCCCTTGAACTTAGTCAGTACGATGCTTGACGTTCAACATCATCGCGCACTTACAGCAGTGGGGTGGTCTGCAAACTGCTCAGCGGGTGCGGCAAGAACGAAGCCGAGGCCGACGAAGAGCCACACGAGGTAGGTGACTAAGGAGGACATAGTTGCTATTGATTCGTAGGCAGGGTGTGTCGAGTTGATGAAGTGTGTATGAACGGAGACGCGATGTTCTGAATTGGCGTTGGGGCTCGATGTCTCGACAAGCTCGTGGTGAGAAGTGAGTGCGTTAAGTAGGCAACCGCGCAAGAGTAGCACGTGTGTGGAGCCAATTGTAGTTAGTCTTAGATGAAGCAAACGGCAGTCGCTAAGATATGGTCAGAGGGTAAATAACGCGTCAGAATTCGCCCACGGGCCTGTCTTCACGCTCACACTTCTTGAGGCCGAGTGCATTGCTTGAGGACAAATACATTACTTGAGGACGAACACATCACTTGAGGACGAATATATTGCTTGAGGACGAGTGCATTCCTCACCGTACGTGCATACGTTGGGTGAAATGACCACTTAGATAAGCCTACTTGAACCATACGGTTAACCCTTACATACGCTTGCCATCAGCCCGGGTCCATCTAGCCTGCCTCCTCAGAACTCGCAGTTATATCCGCGGTGATATTCCCGACCATCCGGACATCTGAAGGTTGCCTCGTTGTAGCGCGGGTCTTTCGCACAATCGATGATGTAGTAATCTCCGCATCGAAACTGACCAGCGTCGACGCCGCTACCAATGTAATGGCAGTCTTCGGAATACTCGATGTCAGCGTATACCTATAAGAGAGTGCGAGTTAGCATGCGATACTCAGCAAAGAGTTTAAGAATATTCCACTTACACTGAGAGGGGGAAACGGCGGATGGGCGATGTCGTCCTCCTTGCCCGCGAGTTCCCTTCCGAAGTAGACCCGCTCGAAGTTTGGATCATCTTTAGGGTCCAGGCAAGGATCCACTGCGATTCCTTGGGGTCCCTGGAAGATGAACCAGTTGTATCGGCGAACAGGGAATTTACTTAGGATGAGCTGGAGGGAGTACGGATACTGAAGTGCGTAGTCAGCTTTATTAGCAAGAGTGCTACAAAATTGTATCAAAAGGGCTAATAAACATACACTCGCAGTATTGCGCCTTGCTATAGATGTGACATTACCGGCAGGCGTGTCGACAGGCACTGCTAATACAAGGCTTAAGCAGGCAAGTAGCCAGACAAGTGAAGTAAGCCAGTTGAGCATGGCGAATTGGAAGTTGATCTGGGTCTTGTGTTTCGCTGATTAGAGGAAGAGAGCTGGATGAGAAGCTTTGATGTAGATTAAATGCTTGTCGATGACTTGAAGTAATCAGTCTTCAAAGTGGGGTAGAGAAGCGGTGAGCTGTGAAGAGCAGCGGTCGAGCGTTTGCGGGAGACAAAGGAATGTTGCAAACAAACACAGGGTCTTTCACTAGTAATGGTAAACGTAGTATGGAAGTATGAAGACATTGCACTGTAGTAAACGGAGGAGAGACTGAGCGGCATATGCATGCATTCCTTCGCACAATGTAGAGTATCTCCGCTCTGCGCTGTGCGCATGTTCCAGCCTCAGCCATCCTCGAGCACAACGTCTTATTGATAGACGAGCCTAAGTATCCACGAAGAAACCGCGATGATCCCATGCCTTCTCTCTCCAGTCGCATTCCTGGGCTGGTTCTAAATACCGTTCATCTTGGTCGAAATGCAGAATGTCACGACCCGGGCCGCAGTCAAGCCAGCCTGGATCGCCGCCTGTTGAGGTATATTGACAGCCGACATATTTGCCTGGGAGATCCAAAGGGAAAGTCATCTATACCGCGTAAAGTCAGTACCTGCTCATAACGAATCGATAAAAGACACAGATCATGCCAGTGTTCTGCAGACTCACCTCCGGCGGAAATGGGGGCTTCTTGATTGGGTCGCCTTTGTAGTAGTATGGACCCATAGATTCGACAGGGTGGAAGTCTTTCATGCCATATCCCAGGCTACAGAGTGGCGCGGCCATACCAGAAGGGCCCTCATAGAAGTGGTAATAGTATTCTGTTCTTGCTGAGAGCCGAGATTGCTTCCTGAGGATAATTTGGATGGAGTTCAGTTTTCTGGGGTCGCGGATATGCTTGTACTAAGGTCAGTCTTGCTTTGTTGAGGAGCACTGAAATGAAGTACTGACCATCGCTCCATCAGATGTTGCCATTGATGTACTGTTCGAGAGTGCGTGCGGGCTAGGTACCTCGAGAGGTACCGCGATACCTGGCGCGACCAGATACGCGATAAGCCAAACGAGTAAAGGGAGCCACGAAAACATGACGAGTGTAAGTTGGGGGGTTAAATGGCAGTAGCTTGGCTAGGTTTTGTAAAGCAGAAAGAAAGCGCGGGTGAAGGTGAGAGCCGAGTAGATAAGCGCCTAAGCTTAGATTGGCGAAGGACTAAAAATCGTGGATCATGGAACTGTAAGCGGGGCAGGAGCAATCGGGGACCTGCCAACAGTGAGTGCGAACGTCAACGGTGAAACAGCGCTATGATCATGTGATCGAGCAGCACGTGGCGCGATTATTGCGTCATGTTCTGATACTGCGTAGAGCACCTACCTGGGTAAGTCAGGTAACGTACCTAGGTATCACAGTAACACCAAGACTGAATGAATAGCGGGCTCTTCCATGTCTCACAGTCTCCATGTTCCTATACAGTATCAACTATGGCTAAGAGAAAATGCGGCTGGTAGTACATCGGGCAGTCATGCTAGCAGGTATGAACGAAAAGGGTGTAATTGGAAGGACCTGGATCCGGCAAGTGCTACCCCCAGCGCCTCTAGCCACTCTCTTCAGACAGCCTAATGCTAGGATGATTCCTTAGGCACCTCTTCATCAAAGTCGCAAAAGAACACGCGACGGTACCGACGGCCGTTATCACAGTGTATCTCCGGATCTTTGATCTGCGGGTCGAAACCACAGTGTTCAAAGTGCTTGTCGTCACACTCGATCCAAGTCTTTTGCGCGCCGTCGCTCGAGTAGTAGCAGTTATCTTGACCGTTGATAGTGATCGGAAGACTTTCATCGGGCTTTGAAGGGATGTATGTGTCAGCCTGATGCTTCGCCTAATCTCATACAGCGTTGCAAGACTCACCTCCGGCATCCTTTCGAGGTATCTGTCGGGAATTTGCTCATCTTTAGTCCCCGTGAATTCAGGCTTGTTTGTCGGCCACCATCGATGGAGGCCCTGGAAGGGCGCGGGGGAGGATGTAGGCGCACAGGGGTCGACTGCTTCGCCTCCAGGACCGACGAAGGACATCCAGTTTAGTTTTTGGTCTATCTTCTCAAGCAGAAACTGGACAGATCGATAGCGAGTTTTCGATCTCGGAACGTGGTTTGTAATGATGGTGGGAGCTACTGCCACTGCAATGCCTTGAGAGACCCTTGACGGGGTGAGGTCATTCGCGGTAGTGGATACTACCCCAATGAATCCCGCCATCGTAAGTGTGCTCCAGAATTTCATCGTGGCCGGCACTTTCTGGTGCTAACGTACCGCTGGAGGCTACTATTGGTATCGTGATGTGGATGTGTGATTGATCGGTAGGTTTCAGCGATCTTCTGCTTGAAGATGCGGAAGATAAACAAAGTAGAACAGTATAGGTAGCTTTATAGCTCAGGAAGAAGAGCTAGGATTTCTTGACGACATGTTACGATGGGGGTGATTCCTAGTCATATGTCTGCTGTCATAGGTCATGACTGAACATATTGCCGGGTGCTAGCGCAAAGTCGCCTTTGTGTCCATGTCCATGGACCGCATGATGCACCTTGGAAGTTGGGTGGAATGTAATCTCTCTTGGTGATACCCAAGTGTCAGGTATCATCGTGTCACCCGAACCTGGGGCACATACTGCAGCGTGGCATGGCTCGTTCATTCGTGATAAATCGTGAAACATACGTAGACTAGTCAAAAGACACTCGGCCCAAACCTCTCTCTTTCACCGCCTTGAAGACGCCGTCCTTGATCTTCGCAAGAGCTGTTTCCCATGGCTCTTTCGAAAAGTTTTCGTCCTTTTGCGCCTCGTAATTAATGACGTAGTCGATCCATTTCACCATACCAACAGCTTTGCTGATGTCCTTTTCTTCCAGTACGACCTTTCTGAGGTACTTGATCAATGCAACAACATCTTCGCCATACGGCCCTTCGTCAGTAAACTCGCCAATCCATTGCTTCATGGCGACCCTCAAGTCCGCCAGCGCCGAGAGTTTGTCGGTTGTAAAGGTCGGCTTTACAGGGCGAGGGACTTTGATCATGGGTAGTTCTGTAGGCGGTTCGACTACCGGTGGAGGTTTAGCCTTGCGTGATACAGAGACACGGAAAGCATTCATTTTCTCGGCTTTGTGTTGTGCGAGTACCTCTTTGCGAACGTCTTCGGGTAGCGCAGCGAGGAAGGCTGGGTCAAGGTCATCTTCCTTTGGTGCTTTGGGTACGGTGGGCGCTTCAAAGGCATCATCGCTTGGGCCCGCGGAATTCTCTCTACTCTCACTTTCTCGTGCGGGGTTCTTGAGAGAGATGAAATTGGCTTGAGTGAGAGTTTTACCAGTCATGCTAATAGACTTTGCTTGAGCAGCGGCAGCAAGCATTGCAGATCTTGGTGGCCGGCCTCTACCACGCTTAACAGGTACAATGGCTTTCTTCGCAGGGATACCTATGATTCTATTCTTGCGTGGCGATTGGGGTAATATCGTTTGGTCCGCGCCCTTTGGACGGCGAGAGGGAGAGAAGGGAGTGATGCTGGCGTCATACTGTGCAAGTATCTCGGCACGAACTTCGGCTGGTAGCGTAGCAAGTATATCGGGATCAAGTTGAGACTGGGCTGGGAGTGCTGTCATAGCGAAAGGCAAAGCTTTTGTAGGTGTGCTAGGGTTGCCTCTTTTGTCTTCATTGCGTGCAGGTGTAGGAGAAGACTGACGCGTTTGGCGCAGCAGTTTTGATCGAATGTCCTCTGGTAGCTCGGCCAGTACTTTGGGGTCAACCTGCGAGGGCATGATGAACTGCGTGCCTAACATGTTTAGCGGGCGGCGTGAAGGTGTTGATGCATTGAGTGTCTGAGCGCCAAAAGGGACATGCTCTTCTCCTGACGAGGCTTTGGACTTTCGTGGGGTCTCGGGATCGTCTTGGATGGGGTCTTCCTCAACTGCTTTTGGGGCTCGCGCCACACGAGCTGTTTCCGCGTTGCCGACTTTGAATTGTAGTCGTCGCTGTGAGCCTTCAAGACTACCATCCGTGGCATTCTTCATAGGCTCAAGTTTTGTCATCTGTATGCCGATGCCTCGAAGCTCACCTGGGGTGAAACCAAAACCGCGCAGTATGCCTAATGCCTCTTTCGTAAGGATTTCTTTGGCGTTGGTAGCGACGCCAAGCGTGAGGCTTTTATTATGCGTGTCGCATTTGCCGTGGCCAAGATGCTTGGGAGGATCCAGAGGAGCGTCTGGAGAACGTCGCATAATCTTCATCATGAAATGTTTGCCCTTTACCCTCTCCTTCAACAGTCTCTTCTGGAGCTCTCCGCATAAGCTTGCAATGAACTCATCAGCTTGCTCCTGGTTCTCAAAGCGAACGCCCCAGTTCACCTCGGCAGAAATAGACTTGCGGACGACTTGCTCCCCTACTTCTTGATGATCGATACCTCTTGCGTACTCGTAAAGCTTCTCTCCAGTCTTGGGCCCTAGTATCTGAACGAGTCTTTCTTTCGTAAGTTCGCGAATGTCTTTGACGAGTTTGACTCCCTGGTCCTCAAGCTTGCCTCCAATCGACCAAGCGACGCCTGGGAGATCTTGTACCTGAAGTTGACCTATGAAGTCTAATACCTCTTCGGGTTTGATCTGATATTGTCCGGCAGGCTTTGCTTTGCGTAAGGCTACTTTGGCTAGCAAGATGTTGCTACCGATGCCGACGGAAACGTTACAACCAGTCCTGGATCTGACTTCGTCGCGTAGATTGAGTGCAATTTCTTCGGCTTTCGCCTGCTCGCGATGACTGCTGCCTTCGGAGTATTGTTTGCCATCACTACCACCAGCAGCGATGCATAGGTTCGATACATCGATGAGCGCTTCGTCGATACTAACACTCTGCACTAGACCACCGCTAGCCAATATGGCATCGTAAAAGGCGCGGCTGGTGGCTTCGTACTCGGGAAAGTCATAAGGCAAGATTTTAAGGTCTGGACAAAGCTCTTGAGCCCGCTTCATCCACATA